AAAAAATCATTTATATTTACAGAGAGCAATATTGATGGATGCTTATTTTTTCATGTTTCTTTTCACTTCAATATTTCTCCACATTTATGGCTATTATCTTTGTATCCAATAGATGTAAAGTTAGCCTGCCTTTTTGAAATTAAATTCACTTTTTCTTTTTTAATTATTTTTCTTCTAATCTTTTCTTAATTTCATGACTTTGTTTCATAAGGTGTTGTCGTTTTGGGATATTATTGAACCCAGGTTGAAATGGTAACCAATGTGGTTAATGTAGACACATAGCAAGAACGGTCATGACTTATAGGAAGTTCAAATTCTGTATTCTTCTACAACCATCTATAGATGCAGGAAATGAATCTCACATGCTGTAGTGAAAAAATAGTTTGATTCCCCATATTTCATAGTAGGGGTGTTGAAGACTGTAGTGAAAGGTCCCTAAATTAACCACCAGTCTTGTCCCATTGAAGCAATATTGCTTTCCCAATAGAATATCAACAAACTCGTGTTCTAAGATACCAAGTTTGCTTGTGGGAATTCTCTGGTTATTGCCAAACCACTTAAAAATCGCAAATTGTTTGACAAACACAGGAAGGGCTGCACCCATAGGGTCCTTGCACCATAACCACTATAATAAGTTGTAGTGGGTATGGTAAGTGGAATGTCTCTCTATTGGACTTGGAGATTAGTTTTGTTTGGAACTACGGTTTGGCCTGCTGATACAAATTCCAAATTCCGAGAAAAAATCCTGAATCAAATTAAATACACAAAGAGTAATCATGTTCATTTTGATTCGTGATTTAGAATTCTTCCCATGTTGCAAAAAAAATAGGTGATTGAAAAAAAGATGATTGATAGCTAGGGGATAGCCATTAAATGTTGATTCACAGATCAAGTGAGAAGTGACTAATAGAAAGAAAGAAAAAGGAGTAAAAAAAAAATTAAATATATTATACATATAATAAATATATATCTAATTTATAAATATTGATTTTACTGCCGTGCACAAGTCTACCCTTTGTTAGAACTATATTTCTGTGTTTGTATATGTTAGTTGTTCGATTAAACATTCTAGTCTATCCACTTTCTGCATCAGCATACCCTTTAAATACTGCACTTACTCAACTGTGTTTTGTTGTTTACATGAAAATGTTCTTCTGTATACCAGAGACTATCGGTGCATCTGTTGGATGACTGAGCAGGTGTAGCAATACCACATGCATCTGTCGTACCTATACATTGCGAAACGCAGAACATGACTTTCGAGTCTTTATAATTAAATACCTGGATCCTCTCCAGTCTTAAGAAAAATCAGTTTCCATTTCTAGAATTGTATCTATATAAGTTGTGATTTCTTGGTAAGAAGAAACTTCCTTTTTCAGTGCTGGAATTGGAACCTAACCAACAATCATTTTTTAAGCCGAAGGCTAAGTCTGTGGTTCTCACAGCTGTGTCTAATATAACTCAATTATTTCACTACCCCATAAGTGTTAGCTTCAAACTGTTATGCCAGCAAAAACATAATTACACAATTTTAAAATATCCATATGTTTCTTGGGCAGCAAAATTGTGTTTTTAGTGGAAAAGCATATTATTTAATACTGAGAATATTTTCTTACTAAAACAGTTGAGCACCGCGCATTCCTATGCCTTAGGTTATTATAATTCATCTTAGGATAAGTATATCATTTGCTTTTAGAAAAGGTATGTGCCCTTGTGTTTGAGACACACGCTTTAAGCACGTTTGGAATGTTGTGCTTCCTGCAAGTGAAGTATTTACAAAGTTAATGTAATGCCAGCGAATGAATGGATGTTGAGCCACATTGATCTCTACAAACTGTAACATCTTCACAGCTGCTACAAATAATGTTTGAAACTGAAAGGATCGTTTTAACACAAGTCAAATATATTCACATTTGCTCAACATCATAAGCTAGAAGAAATGGTCAAAAAAGTCTAGCAATGACAATCAGCTGTTTCCATTGGCAGATCTATTATCATTACTGGTATTATTAAAAGTATTATTTTTGTTAGAAAATAAATAATAAAAAATAAGTTTTTGTATAAATTATATGAATACGTTGCAGATATTATTTTTGTCCTACAAGCCAAGTAACGTAACCTCCCAACAGTGGGATGAGTAAAAGGGACTTGTGCATAAACTAGTAATTGTGTACACTGATCAGCCACAACATGAAAACCACAACAGGTGAAGTGAACGATTATATTGTTACAATGGCACCTGTCAAGGGGTAAGATATATTAGACACCAAGTTAACAGTCAGTTCTTGAATTTCATGTGTTGGAAAATGGACAAGGGAAAAGATCTAAGTGACTCTGACAAGGGCCAAATAGTGATGGCTTGAAGACTGGATCTTTTGGGGTGTTCCCGGTATGCAGTGGTTAGAACCTACCAAAATTGGTTCAAGGAAGGAAAAACCAGTGAACCAGTATCAGGGTCATTGGGGCCAAAGGCTCATTGATGCACATGAGGAGCAAATGCTAGCCTTTTTGGTCCGATCACACAGAAGAACTACTGTAGCTCAAATTGCTGAAAAACTTAATGCTGGCCATGATAGAAAGGTGTCAGAACACACGCAGATTGCTGCATATGGGGCTGCGTAGCCTCAGACTGGTCAGAATGCCCGTGATGACTACTGTCCACTGCCGAAAGTGCTTTCAATGGGGATGTGTCAGAAATTAGCCCTTGCAAAATGAACATGGATGATCTAGTATTGGGCAGACTAGATGGGCCGAATGGTTCTTATCTGCCGTCACATTCTATGTTTCTATGTTTATTGCATCACATTTTTTTTTTTTTATGGGCTTGGAAGAAACACTAGGTCCTTCCTCTGATTATTATAATTAGGGCCCAACCCACAATCAATGAGTGAGAGCCAGGGGTTGACATTAGGTTCTCACCTCTAGTAATTATAATAAGAGTACCCATCCACTGCCAACAGGTGGGAATTGGGGTTAAGGAAGTCCACCTCATATATTTTATTGTGATTTGTCCACCACCTATTGCTTATATAATATGCTGCCATCCGATGCTTACAGGACATAGCCCCTAACCTTATTATACAGGCCCCACCCCATCATAAAGGTTTTTATTGCTTCCCTTTATTTATTTATTTTTAACTAATTAATGTGGCGAATGGCTAGCAAGCACTAGCAAGCGAATGGCTAGCAAGCACTGGACGCCACATTATTAGTTCTCGCATTGCTGAGGGTTATTTAAAGGGACACTCCACTGCCTAAATACAAGCTAAATAAAAATCACTTTTTAGTAGATATACCCAAATGAATATTTCCATGAATTTCATTATGTATTTTTTTCATTGGGCATATATCTAAAATCAGCTTGCAAAACCTGCACTTCTCTTTTATGCTACCATTGCAAGCTCTCCCCTTCTAAATCTGCCCAGACTTTCTGTGGCTGTCCAATCACAGACTTCCCAATGCAGCTCAATGAGATGTCTTTGTAAGTCACATGCTCTGAGCAATTGCTGCCTCTTGAGGTCAGCTACATTGAGCTAAAAAAAACAGGAAGTAACATTACCTGATGTCTGCTTGAAAGCCAAGGAGGTGTAACCAGGTTAATATATACAAATTTCAATTTCTATAGAAATCTGCACTTTTTGCAAACTTATATAAATAGGACAAACTCTTCACACATAAAGCTTTTTTAGCAAGCTAAAGTTGTTTAGGGTTCCGGGGTGACCCTTTAACTATCTGCCGGCTGACTGCTAGTGCTGCTAGCAGGCAAATAGTTCAGATCTTTATTTCTATTTTTTTTTTTTTTTTTTTTAAAGCATCCAACTTTTCATCCAAACTCAGGTCAGTTCAATGCCTGAATTGTAAAATCTTGACTTTATAATGAGAGGGTTATTTTCGAAAGGGAGAATTGCTGTGAATTCAATGTGAATTCAATGTAATTATTAAACTTAAGGCCAAAGTAGCTGAAATGGAGGCATTGTTTTCTCGAATAATTTTTCCAGTTCATCTTTTTTTGTCTTCTAATTAGAAATCTACTTTGAATTCACAATGATTTTCACTTTAGCAAATTACCATGTAAATTTTTGGTAAAACAAATAATTTCGCACTCAATCCACAAAACAATCGCACAAAACACACATTTGTTGACACAGCTATCTTTTAGTGGAAATTGGTCAGTTTTTCACATTCAACTAACCAAAGAAAACACGTAAAACAGAGCAAACTGTGCACAAAAGCAGCAGAAAGAAAAATAAATATGTAAAGATTTTTTAAACGTTTACAATATATAAAGTATAATGTGATGAAAATGGATCCAGTACATTTTTGGCACAAGTCTGTATTAGGAATGTATACATTTGTCATGTTTTTGTGATCAGCACAAATTATGAGCATTACAGCAATGGTCTAGACTACACCTGTGTGTTGATCTGAGAAATGCTCAAATTATTTTTAGCAAAACTTGTGACGTGACTTTTACTGTTAGTCTATTTTGATTGCCAGACAGTTATTTGCTGTAAAACCTTTTAGTCTGATTGCTTATTGCCCTTTTATTACTTACCCCATATTTCTTTGCCTATGTTCTTGATTATATCATGATTTTGATATTTCTTCCTCTCCACTGCTTGCAATGTTTCCTTTTCCAACTGCTCTCTCTCAGTTCATTTCCCCCTTTCCTGCTTTTTCTCCCCCTATAATTTCGTTAGGCTTCAAAATTCTACACAGGGTCTGGAACCCTTTTACTGCCATGGACATGTGCACTAACACATTCTGCTTTCCTTTATCTCTGTGTAAAATTGTACTGCAGGGAACACTCAATGCACGCCAGTCAGTATGGAGTTCAAAAAGTATTAGAAAATATGAATGCGTGTACATCATATATATAAAACAGTTTTCTTAGGGGTGTATCCAACAAAAGGCAAAATCCACTAATCATAGAAGTTTCAGTGCAAAAAGTATAATCATTCATATAACATTACGTATTGCTGTTGGTTAATCTACTGCGCATGTATAGCACGTCTTATCTAAACTATGCAAGGTTCTTTCATGGGTAAGAAAAGGGAGTCGTGAAATTGCAACAGATTGCAGACAGGAGCTAGCAGAGAAAGATTCTTACTTTTAACCCCTGCAGATGTGGAAAGACTTAACAAAAGGCTTTTAACCCTTTATTTACTTCTATCTATGACAAGTCCCCTGTTCTGGTGCTGCAGGTGAGAGTATTAGACAAGGTATACTAGTTATACCCGTGGGACTTTAATTAGATCTTCACCTCTATTCCCTTGCCATCTCACACCACTCAAAGCCATCAAGGAAGGCCTGTCCAGATATCTGCCAGCTCTGAGTTACAGGATAATAAATGTTATTAAATTCACGTCTCATTATACAATACATCCATAGGTTAATATATATTTTTATATCGCTCTGTATGTCTAAGGGAATATTAACTAAGCATTGTATAGGTAAAACAATTCATTTTCCATCACATTTCTTCCACTGTGTCTGTTGCCTTTTAGAGTTTTTTTAGAAGTGGAATCAAGGCAGGTTAGGTAAACTAGAAAAATGGTCAGAATTGTGGCAACTGACATTTAATGTGGATAAGTGCAAGATAATGCATCTTGGACGTAAAAACCCAAGGGCAGAGTACAGAATATTTGATAAAGTCCTAACCTCAACATCTGAGGAAAGGGATTTAGGGGTGATTATTTCTGATGACTTAAAGGTAGGCAGACAATGCAATAGAGCAGCAGGAAATGCTAGCAGAATGCTTGGTTGTATAGGGAGAGGTATTAGCAGTAGAAAGAGGGAAGTGCTCATGCCATTGTACAGAACACTGGTGAGACCTCACTTGGAGTATTGTACGCAGTACTGGAGACCCTATCTTCAGAAGGATTTTGATACCTTAGAGAGGGTTCAGAGAAGGGCTACTAAACTGGTTCATGGATTGCAGGATAAAACTTACCAGGAAAGGCTAAAGGATCTTAACATGTATAGCTTGGAGGAAAGACGAGACAGGGGGGATATGATAGAAACATTTAAATATATAAAGGGAATCAACACAGTAAAGGAGGAGACTATATTTAAAAGAAGAAAAACTACCACAACAAGAGGACATAGTCTTAAATTAGAGGGACAAAGGTTTAAAAATAATATCAGGAAGTATTACTTTACTGAGAGGGTAGTGGATGCATGGAATAGCCTTCCAGCTGAAGTGGTAGAGGTTAACACAGTAAAGGAGTTTAAGCATGCGTGGGATAGGCATAAGGCTATCCTAACTATAAGATAAGACTAGGGACTAATGAAAGTATTTAGAAAATTGGGCAGTCTAGATGGGCTGAATGGTTCTTATCTGCCGTCACATTCTATGTTTCTATGTTTCTATGTTTCTATGTCATAATACTGTTTGCTTTTACTGCAATAAAATACACATATTTGTATTCAGCAAAGTCTCACGTGTAAAACAGTACCCCCTATGTAAAAGTTCTATGGCGTTTTGGGAAGTTACAGGGTCAAATATAGCACGTTACATTTGAAATTGAAATTCGCCAGATTGGTTACGTTGCCTTTGTGACTTTATAGTAGCCCAGGAATTAAATTTACACTCATAATGGCATACCATTTGCAATAGTAGACAACTCAAGGTATTGCAAATGGGGTATGTCCAGTCTTTTTTAGTAGCCATTTGGTCACAAACACTGGCCAAAGTTAGCGTTAGTATTTGTTTGTGTGTGAAAAATGCAAAAAACGCCAATTTTGGCCAGTGTTTGTGACTAAGTGGCTACTAAAAAAGACTGGACATACCCTGTTTGCAATACCTTGGGTTGTCTACTATTGCAAATGGTTGCCATCATAGGGGTAATTTTCATTCTTGGGCTACCATAGGGTCTCAAAGGCAACGTAACCAATCTGGCGAATTTTAATGTGAAAAAAATGAAACGCAAGCCTTATATTTGACGCTGTAACTTTTGAAAACACCATAAAACCTGTACATGAGGGGTACTGTTGTACTCGGGAGACTTCGCTGAACACAAATATTTGTGTTTCAAAACAGTAAAAAGTATTGCAGCAATAATATCATCCGTGTAAGTGCTGTTTGTGCGTGAAAAATGCAAAAAACTTCACTTTTACTGGCGATATCATTGTTGTAATACATTTTACTGTTTTGAAACACTAATATTTGTGTTCAGCGAAGTCTCCCGAGTAGAACAGTACCCCCTACAGGTTTTATGGTGTCAGTTATAGGGTTAAATATAGTGCTAGTAAATTAAATTCCCTTTACTTTCGGCATGGGTTGTCAGGCAGGTCCCGCTAATTGTAATTAATTAAGATACCTAATTATGTAAAAATATTACATAAATATATATGTAGAATTAACATATGTATATATATACGTATGTGTATATATATATATATATATATGTATATATATATATATATATACAATTGTTTTTAAATATTTTTATTTATATATAGGTATATATACATAGTGATATATACGTATATATTTATGTATATATATAGGTGAACGCTTGGCACTCACCTCCAAAAAAATAAATTTTTAACTCACATGCCTGGGTGCAAATTGTTGGCGTCAAATATATAAACAAAAATAAAAATAAAAATGCACTCACAGGTCTTCTGGTTAATAGGAAAACTGGTGCTTTAATAAATCATCTGTGATGTACAAAAAAATCAATCGACGTTTCGACCCTGCCGGGTCTTTTTCAAGAAGACCCGGCAGGGTCAAAACGTCGATTGATTTTTTTGTACATCACAGATGATTTATTAAAGCACCAGTTTTCCTATTAACCAGAAGACCTGTGAGTGCATTTTTATTTTTATTTTTATTTTTATTTATGTATATAGATATATATATTATTTCATTCTACGTGTATTTTGATATAAATATATATATTTTAATATCACAATACAGTTAGAACGAAATAATACACATCTATATATTTTTTAATTATTTTTTAATTATTTTTTTAATTTTATTTTTTAACGTATTTACATATTTAATTTTTTTATATTAGATATAAATATATATATAACAATAATTATATATATATTTAATCAATATCAGTCTACGTGTAATTTGATATTAATATATATATATATAATTATATATATATTAATAGTAAAATACACCTAGACAGTATATGTGTGTGTGTGTGTATATATACTTAGATCATATATATATAATATATATATATGACCTAAATATATATATATATTTTTTTACACTTATTTAACATTTATTTATTTTATTTCCAGCCAGCAGAGGGAATACCTGTCATTACAGGCAGTCCCCCTGCTGGCAATGCAGCAGGCAGCTAACCCTGCCATATGATTGTGAGGTCCTCGCAAGGACCTCACTCTCACATGGCCGGGGGGCTGCAGGAGGGAAGATCTGTCGCGGGGGGGCTCCCTGGGAGTCCCCCCAACCCTGATCGCTGGCGTGGGACCGCCGGCGAACGGGTAAGTAAAGAAAGACCGGAGGGTGTACTATTACGCCCGGCGGCGTTTAGAGCCGCCTAAAATAGGGCGTAATAGTACGCCCTCCGGTCTGAAGGGGTTAATCAGTTCGCTAGTATCTTAGAATAAATTTTTGTGTCGTTATTAATAAGGGATATGGTCCTAAAATTAGAGCATCTGTCGGGAGTTTTACCCGGTTTTGGCAAGGTGACAATCTGTGCGGACAAAGACTCTCCTGGCATCTTCCCCGACTTATAGTAGTTGAATAATTTGGACATATGAGTAATTAAAGTTTCTGCAAAGGTCTTATAGTATAAAATGGTGAATCCATCAGGACCAGGGGCCTTTCCAGATGGCATGAGCTTAATCGCCTCGGCTATCTCTGCTTCAGATATATCACACTCTAATTTTTCCAAATTATCAGAAGACAGCCGAGGCAACGAAACCCTGTCTAAAAAATTATTAATAGTCGTCTCAGACATCTGGGTCAAATTTACATCAGATTCCAAATTATAAAGTACACTATAATATTTGGCGAATTGGTCACTAATCTTATTCGGGTGAAATATTTGTTGTCCCTGGTCATCTATTAAGTACGCAGTTTTAGAATGGGCATTCACCTTCGGAGTTTGAGGCCTTGTTACCCTTTAAATAAAACACTTTCTTGAGGCGTCTCACCATGAGAGTAGCTCGATCTAAATTTATTTTGTGAATTTTTGATTTAATCTCCCCTATCATTGCTGACAGGGAGGAAGATGGGCCGAATTTATTTGCCTGATTTAGGTTGTACAGTTCTTTTTCCAAATTTCTTAAGTTGCTGTTATTTTTCCTCTTCAAGTGAGACGCCCTAGAAATTAAATGGCCTCTCAACACAGCCTTGTGCGCATGCCATGTCACCTCGCCAGGAACCTCATGCGAATAATTTTCCAAAAAATAGTCATTCAGTATCCCTTCAGCTAGCGATCTATTTTCAGGATCATATAATAAGTAATCACTCAGTTTCCAGTGCCTATTGGGAGAGAAAGAAACCATTTCGTCTATATGCAAAGTTATGGGAGCATGGTCAGACCTATCGATATCTAAAATATCAGATCTTGAGATGTGTGGTATGAGAGCACCCTGTATTAAAAACCTGTCCAGCCTGGAATACATGTTCTTGGATACTGAGTAAAAATTAAAGTCTCTTTCATTCTCATGCATTAATCTCCATGGATCATACAGTCCACATTCAACCATATATTTCGAGCATTTCACAGCTAATCTACCACTATCTCTCCTATGGAGTTTATCCAAATTATCCCTTGCATTATCTAAGTCGCCATCCATAACGAAGTTCATATCTCCACACATCACCAAAGTCCCTTTTATGTTCTCATTCACCAAATCCATAACTTTTCTAAAGAAAGTAAGCTGACCCGTGTTAGGAAAGTACACATTGACAATTGTATACATAACGTTGTTAACCTTACCAATCCATACTATGTACCTCCCATCATCATCCGTCATTATCTTTTCTGTAGAATTGGCCACATTACTGCTAAAAAAAATGGAAGTACCTCTAGACTTAGTTTTGTAAGTGCAATGAAATTGGGAAGGGAATAACCGTGTCATAAATTTGTCATAAAAAAAATTGAAGTACCTCTAGACTTAGTTTTGTAAGTGCAATGCAATTGGGAAGGGAATAACCGTGTCATAAATGTGTACTCTTTTCCTTCCTTAAGATGAGTCTCTTGAATACAAACAATATCTGATTTGTTGGATTTGACTTCTTTGAACAATAGTCGCCTCTTGTGAGCGGTGTTCAGGCCCCTCACATTAAATGGCATGAGTTTAATGACCATGACTCAAATCAGAGTACACAGCCATTAAAAAGAGATTGTATAGAAATGTGGGAGCCCGAAGGCCCGCGTCCCAAGAGGAGAGTTAAGAAATCCAACAATCGTAATAACAAATACATTTGTTTAGGCAAGAGTGAGCGTGCTAAAACATTTGAAGCATAACCTGTTAGCTTCTTGAATTTCTTACAGTGCATTAGTAAATGGATGGGATAAAAAGGAAAAATAAAAAATGGGGAATGATAAACTTGGATAAATTCCCCTATACAGGGAGAGAAAAAAACTATGTTTAGAAAAAGGGCCATGAGGGAGAATAAAAAATAATTCTCCATCTCAGGGTATTAGGCCCCGGTTGGGAGGAGAGAAAACTGCCTGCGGTAAGGGGAAAACAATTAAAGCTTTAAAGAAAAATTCAAAATAACAGTGATATGCAAAGAAGATCAATAAAGAATGGAGTCCTTCTAGTTCCGTGAACACATCCCTAATGAAGTCCGATATATGCTCAGTATGTCTCAGGCCTATATCAGAAATCAGTAATATACATTCAAAAATGTCACTGTCCTATAGACATTTAACCAAGTGTTGATGCACAATAAAGAGCATAAAGAATGTGGAACCAAAAAATGAGAGAAGGGGGGAGGGAAAGAGAAAGAGAAAAAACAATTTGTAAGTAATAAAATGGATGTGATAAAACAACGTGAAGAAAGTATTAAATCCAAACCGGCAATATGTATGTTGGAGCTTTTGTGCCTTCAAAAAATTAAAAGAAAGTAGCTTCAAGTGTCATCCGCCCTACTTTTCTTGTGGGTGTGTCTTGGAGTAGACGGTGAGGTTACGTGAGGTTGGTTTTGACGTCTGTTCATGGCATTAAGAAGATCCATCCCTTCCTCAGGAGAAGTGATTGTGAAATTTCTGCCATCCATATGAAAGAGTAGTTTTACAGGGAATCCCCATCTGTAACGAATCTCTCTTTGTCTCAGCTCTGTCGTGAAGGGTTGAAATTCTCTGCGGCGTCTCATAGTGTAGGCTGAGAAATCCTGGAAAACTTTGATATATTTATAATCCGCAGGGAGACCTGATTTGCAAATAGTGCTCAGGATTTCCTGTTTTATATGAAAAAAGTGTAGTCTCACTATGGAGCTGTTGCAGGTGCATTGCCAGATTTAGGGAGTCTGTGGATACAATTCACTATTAGATCTAAATCAGTAGCTTTGGGTAAAATCGTTTTAACCATTTTTGGGAAATAATGTATCAAGTCCGAGGTGTCCACATTATCAGGTATCCCCCTGATCCTCAAATTGTTACGCTGGCTCCTGTCTTCAGAATCTGCCAATTTTTTCCGCTTACAAGTTGACCTGTTTCTGAAGTTCCTTCACAGTGTTAACCAGATCTAAATGTGATTGTTCTTGCACCTGCATTCTGTATTCAACATCTTCTGTACGTTGACCAATGTTTTCTAAAACTCCGTACATAGTGTCAAAATCTTTTCTAAAGTCATTCTTTAAATCCACTCTCAAATTTTGTATAAGTTGAATAATCATACCAACAGAAGGTGGTAAATCCTCTGCCATTTCAAGCGGCATATTAGGATTGTAGGTCATGGTTTTGAATCCTGAAGAAGCCATCTTGAATGTGGAAGTAGCCATCTTGGTGGTGGCAGTGGTTACATGTACAGTGGTAGACATCTTGGGTGTGGTAAAATCATTAATAGAAGTCTCATTAGTAGCCATCTTGATAGAGGCTTCGTGCCTGATGTTTTGTTGCATAGAAGAATAATAAATGGAGCCTATTTCTTCCTCCAGTACATCACAGTCTATTAAATTGTCACCATCATCTACCAATTCTTTGTCTTTTAGGGAGCTGGAGGGAAAGACCCCCCACCCGCCGGTGTTCCCAGCCGTGAGGCCGAGGACCTCGACGGGGAGCGAGACCTCACGCCCCCTATGCCCTCCTCTATATCCTGGCCGCTTTTGTATACCAGCGACCGGGCTGCTTTAATTATAGCGCGCGAGCGGCTATCAGCTTCTGTTAAGCAGCTCGCGGGAGATTGTCCGCGGCACTCCGAGCATGCCGAGCAACCAGAGTACACTGAGCCGCCCTCCACTGTCGCGGCACTCGCAGCCGCGATACCGCCACTCTGAGAGCAATGCGAGCGGGTCTCGGCTGCGCTCGCATAAGAGCGGGTCTGAGTAACTGGGTGGGCGGGTGGGATAGTTTTCACCACTCCCACCAATGTGGATTTCTGTGGAAAAATAAGCCGCGGGCCAGTTTTGTTGACAGGTGAATGGGCCTGCAGGCCTTTACTCACCCCTGCAGCTCCAGCCTCTCGCTTTTGCAGTACAGGCACATTTTTTTCCATTTTTTTTTTTTGTTTCTGCATTGTTGCCAGTTGTTCAGGTGTCTCTTTCTGTGTCCCCTTGCCTCAGGAGCTCCTCTAGAAGGTGGCCATCTATGATGGTGGCCAGACTCCGCCCCCCATTTGTTCCATTGTTTTCTGACTGTGTTTTGTTAAAGGACCACTATAGGCACCCAGACCACTTCAGCTTAATGAAGTGGTCTGGGTGCCAGGCCCAGCTAGGTTTAACCCTTTTTTTTTTATAAACATAGCAGTTTCAGAGAAACTGCTATGTTTATAATAGGGTTAATCCAGCCTCTAGTGGCTGTCTCATTGACAGCCACTAGAGGGCTTCCGCGCTTCTCACTGTGATTTTCACAGTGAGAAGACGCCAGCGTCCATAGGAAAGCACTGTGAATGCTTTCCTATGGACTGGCTGAATGCGCGCGCGCGGCTCTTGCCGCGCATGCGCATTCAGGCGGTGACAGAAGAAGAGGGAGGAGAGGAGGAGGAGAGCTTAACCCCTTCCTCCCCCCAGAGCCCGAGTATGTTTTCCTGGCACTATAGTGGTCCCTTAAGTCGCAGCTTGAAAGAGAAAGTAGTTTGTATGGAAGGGAGTTTTATGTTTCCTTTCTGTTTTCTGATTGGTTGTTTACTCTCTGTGTTAATGTGCTGCTGTGGAGTTCTAGTAAAGAGAGACTTAAGCAAATATTTGCCTCCTGTCATTAATACAATTAAGATTATAGGTACACTAAAGCTAGCATAATCTACAATTAAACAGTACTTGCTGAGATCGCAGCATATAATTAGAGAGCAAATAATTACTCTCTATTAAAATTAATACTTATTTTAAAAAAGTGTGTTCCATTGGATTATCCCACAAAAACTGACTTGAGATCTGTTGTTTGTCCCTTTCCCCTATGTTTTACAGGGTCAGAGGTTCCATAGCTCACTACCCTTAAAGGAATTAACCTCATTCTTTTGGGTCTTGTATTTCCCCCTAAATTCAGAACACAAAATAATTAAACCCCCAAAATATATTACACCAGGAGATAATATTAGCAGAGGATAGAATATGAACAAAAATGTAACCTATCTAGTGCAATACTAAAATCGACCATTAGGGGTCAAACTATATTTAAAATACAACTACAAGAAGGAAAAAGGTGGAAAAACATAACCATATGAAGTGCAATAAAAAGTCACAATATTGTTTTATATTAAAATAATAATTGTAAAGAAATAGTGAGATTAGTCACAATAAAGTCAAAGTCAATATACTAGACTTGCAGTTGGTGATGTCGAGAATATGAATAAATAATTCTGTTATTCTTTTTATAAGGCGGCTCTTTTTTGCAAAAGTACTATGGAAAATATATATAGCCTAATACTGTGTGATATTCATATATATATATTTATATATATAAATATATATGCAGGTACAGAGTCTACTCACATAATTGATTAAATAAACCAATGCTTCGGTATAATTAAGAGCGATTCCATTGAATGTAGCTGGAATGAACCATGTTTTACATGCAAAAGCATTTAATCAATTATGTGAGCTCTGGGCTCTACACAATGTGATACAGCCTGTATAGGATGACACACAGATTCATGCTCTCTTGTGGTACTATAACCATCAGCGATGTTATATTCTGAGAAATGGATAACCCAGGATAATGTTTCTAGTATGTTATTAAGGTTCTGCAGTACGCACCTCTGACTAGCCTTACAATAGAGGTTGCAGAGATCTGTAGATACATGACTTTGAACCATTTTCTATTCTTGGTGGTGACCATAGGTGAGAGATGTGTTTCAGGCATTTGTGATCCAGCTAAACTAAAATGGACACCTCAGTGAAATTAGTAAAAAGCTAAGTGTTCAGATATAAAGCAGTACTCAATTTATTCAATTAAATCATACAAGCAAATCTTTCATAATGATAAACAACTAAAAACATATTGTGGCGGCAGCGTTGTATTCACTGCGAGGCTAACAAGGCATTTGCCTTGGGTGGCACTTTCCTGGAGGCAGCAAAAAAAAGCCCCAAACGCCCCAGAGGATGCCTTGTTAGCCTTGTGTCCTGAGGGACCCAAGAGCTGGCCACCTTTGGGCCCCCCACAAGGCGGGCGGCATCTTCTATTGCAGGTGTGCGGCAAGGGAGTGCTGTAATCTGAGCTCTTTCTGCTCAGCTTCCTTGTGCGACACTTAGTGATGCCAGGAGCCGGAATATGACGTCAGTCCGGCTCTCTGCATCACTAAGCAACACATGAGGGAGTTGAGCAGGAATATCAGAGCCACGTACTCTGCCAATTCGCCCCCTGCCTGACTGCTTGCACACGCACCTGCCCAGCAGCCCCACTAGACCCCAGCTTAAGAATCCACTCCAGGTATCCCACAGAGGCTGGGTGGAGTAAAATGAAAATGTAAAAAATAAATAAATAATCATTTGTGAGTGTTGGGGGAAATCATATGAGTGTGTATGTCTGTCAGTTAATGTGTGTGTGTGTCTGTCTGTCTGTCAATGTGTGTGTGTGTGTCTGTCAGTCAGTGTGTGTCCGTCAGTTAATGAATCTGTATGTCTGTCAGTGTGTGTCTGTCAGTGAGTGTGCGTGTCTGTCAGTGAGTGAGTGTGACTGTTAGTGTGTCTGTTAGTTAATGTGTGTATGTCTGTGAGTGTGTGTGTGTCTGTCAGTATGTCTGAGAGTGTTTCTGTCAGTGTGTCTGTCAATTAGTGTGTTTGTCTGTGAGTGTGTGTCTGTGTAATAGTGTGTGTCTGTCAGAGTGTGTCAAATCAGTGAGTGTTTGTGTGTGTGTGTGTGTCTGTCAGTGAGTGTGCGTGTCTGTCAGTGAGTGTACATGTCTGTCAGTGAGTGCGTGTGACTGTTAGTGTGTCTGTTAGTTAATGTGTGTATGTCTGTGAGTGTGTGTGTGTCTGTCAGTATGTCTGAGAGTGTTTCTGTCAGTGTGTCTGTCAATTAGTGTTTGTCTGTGAGTGTGTGTCTGTGTAATAGTGTGTGTCTGTCAAAGTGTGTCAAATCAGTGAGTGTTTGTGTGTGTCTGTCAGTGAAAGTGTGTGTTGGCTAAACAGTGTGTATGTCAGTGCATGCATCAGTGAGGGAGTGTCTGTCAGTCAAAGTAAGTGTGGCCTTGACAGGAAGGGTAAGGAAAATTGAAATTGCGTCTGAGTTTGTTCATGCCTGGGGCAGCTCAAATTCAAAATACACCATTGTGTGGCGGACCCTGTCCTTGTACCCTTACTGTTTCCCCAAAAAAACATATTCACTGTTCTCCTGGTTCAGTACCTTCCCTTCTACCAAACGTTATTGCCAAAAGCGCGCTCCCTGGCAGCTGTTCAACTACCCGAACGACCCCCCAGCGGGACTTGGCCACGAAGCTAATGGAACTCTATATGGCTAATTGACCATGCGATTTCCGGTCCCCACGATCCCCTGTTTTACCCATCCTGCTGATCTGCCAGGAGAGCCCTATTTGGAGGGAAAGTACTACAAAACCTACCTCATGGTGATTAGACAATTATTCATGGATTCAGGAACTATTTTACCAACTTGGGCACACGGACCAGAACTATCTGAGGATGTATGATATGTGGGGTTCCTGTGTGTCTTTACTGTATTTTGGGGATGTTTTTATGTTAGGCACTTTGCATCCGGGAGATAATTAGTTCAGCGGTCAACAACTCAATTATCTCCCAGACACAGAGGTGCCTGGGTGGCCACTGTGTATACAATGGAGACTCTACGCTGGGGGTCTGTGTATAAAAGACCAAGTCTGTGGAATAAAAATCAGTTGTACTCCCAGAACTATGTGTCGTCTAGTTACTTGGGGGAGAGTTATAATCACTGACCAGCGCTTGTTCTAGCTTTGAGGAAGATTCAACTGCGATACCTAGTCGGGGTATTGGAGCTCTGCTACATATTTGCAAAAAAAAAAAAACTATACCTGCTTCTTCTGCACAAGTATACTATTGTTTTGTGAGTATGCTTCAATCTTGACATGACCACTTCAGGGACTGAATGGGTCATTTATTTTATTACTGGCATTTATAAAGCGCCATATTCTGTAGTGCTGTACAACTGGGAAAAAGACAATACAGTGAAAACAGACCAATACAATAGATAGAGGACCCTGTCTGTGAACTTACAATCTAAAGGCTAATGGTACTTGCGCAGCATTTTGCTGTGAAACATACAAAGTTTATTCCCTTTCCCACCTCTCGCAGTGTCATTGTGGCGTCAGTAGCCAGTCCGGAACAAGAATTGGCTGGCTAACGTCAATTCTGATGTTTCTAATGTATTTTATTGGCTGAGAGCAGTCAGCTGATACTCTGAGTCAAAAATTGACAATGGAATCATCCAGCTTCTGCTGCTC